GGTTCTGTATTTCCAGTTCCTTCCTCTGGAATCTAAACGTCCACCCACGTGTTTGCCGTGCGTGGCGACCCGTGAAGGAAAGGAGAGGATCCTGGTGGTTGAGTGGTGTCTGGGGCACTGCAGCACACCACTTTGGCCTTGAATTCCTGTAGACGGGTGGCCTTGGGGTGCCCCCAGAATCAATCGGCTGGTCTTCTTGGGCTAGGGTCAACTGAGTACCAGTGTTGGGCGTTCTCAACGGGTGTTGTGGACATCGTGTCTGATGCTGGTGTTTAGGTATAGTGCTCACGAAACGCTGGCATTGCTGCAGTGTCCTTGTTTGACATTATAGTTCATCCCCTTGTAGGACTCCATGGTGGGTAGGGTCAGTGAGCACTGAATCTTTTTTCTTAATTATGGATCCCCCCCAATCCAAATGAAAAAAATGGTAAAAATTCCGCTTATTGGTAAACGACCATGCCTGGAAGACTCTGCACAGCAGTCTCCACCACAAGGTGGCCCTGTACCTCGCTTTCTGAACTTACATTCACTATCTGATAAATCTTTAGGGGAAATGTCCCCCTTTTTTATTCAGAAGGGCTTGGAGGGGCTTGCTGGCTCTTGGGACTTGAAGTCTATCCCCGAGTCAGAGATCTTTGCTGGTCTCTCCAGCCAAGGAGTTTCAGCTGTTCGACGGATCTCCACTTGTCAGGATGGTATTATGGTGCCGACCTCAGTTCTTATTTTGACATTTTCATCACCACGTCCACCAGCCGCTGTTAAGGCAGGTTATTTGAACTGTAAGGTACGGCCCTATATTCCCAACCCTCTCTGATGTTTTTGGTGCCAGCGGTTCGGTCATTCAATGACATCTTGTCGTGGTTCTATGACGTGTGCTCGTTGTGGTAGGAAGAACCACGATGCCTATGAATGTAAACTGGACCCACACTGTATTAATTGTAGTGGTTCCCACCCCTCTTACTTTAGGTCTTGCCCTAAGTGGGTGAAGGAGAAAGAGGTACAGCGTTTGAAGACCGTTCACAACATTTCCTATCCACAGGCTCGGAAGCTATTGTTCCCTACTCCATCTCTGACATATGCCACTGCACTATGTTCCACTGCTACAGTGGTAGTGCAGACGGACATTTCCTTGCCTCCATCTGATTCTTTTTCACGCCATGTGAGAAGTTTTCTGCCCTCCATGGTTAATAGAGTTGATAGGTCTATGTCGACTCCAATCTCTGTCCCCACTATTCCTTCCAGTGACTACCTGGGTCAACCTCGTTGGGCACCAGCCTTCGGTGTCCGGTGTCTTTGGCCCCTAAAAGCAGGACAGTCATTCGTTCACGTCCTCAGTCATTGGATTCTCCCACTGATGACAGAGATCTGCCCACTCAATCAAGGGCAGGATCCATGGAGGTCGATCGACCTCCCTCTAGTAAATAAAAATGGCATGGACGTAAACTGAAGGGTTCCCCACGCTGTTCTCCTAAACATACATAACAATGGTCACTTTGATACAATGGAACTGTCGAGGTTTTCATTCTAATCTCGATGACATTAAAGCCTTGATTGACTCTTATCATCCCGTGTGTTTATCCTTGCAAGAAACATTCCTCAAACCTGCCAATACAGTCAACTTTCGGCAGTTTTCTTTGTATCAGAATGACAGGTTGTGTGATAGGCGGGTGCATGGAGGGGTGGCACTGCTTGTCGACCAGCATGTGCCGTCCTTATCTCTGTCCCTCGATACACCCTTGGAGGCCATAGCCATCCGTGTTTCCTTGGGTTGTACCGTCACTGTTTGTTCTCTCTACCTGTCTCCTGGGGAGACTTATGATCAATCAGACCACAATGCTCTCGTTGACCAGTTGCCATCTTCCTTTTTACTTCTGGGGGACTTTAATGGACACAACCCCCTGTGGGGTGGTGCTGATATTGATGTGAGGGGTCGTTCCATAAAGCATATGCTCTCGGATCACAACCTTTCTCTCTTCAATACTGGTACATGTACTTATTTTCATGCACCTAGTTTGTCTTTTACTGCCATTGATCTCTCGATTTGCTCCCCCCTTCACTTTTCACTCGCTTTTCTTGGATGGTCGACTGTGACCCACGGGGGGAGTGATAATTTTCCTATCATTATGAGGGAGGTTGGCCATTGTCGATGCCACCCGACCCGAGTGCACGGTGGAAGCTGGACCAGGCTAACTGGCCATCTTTCACTTCTCTCTCTGAACTTGATCCTGCCTTCGTCTGTCTGCCATCAATAGACGACTGTGTGGTTGCAGTAACTGACTGTATTGTCCAGGGGGCAGCTCGTTTCATTCCTAAAACCTCGACACGTTTTACACGGTATCTTTGTCAATGGTGGAGTCCTGCCTGCCAGAAGGCACGGAAGGCTCAAAAACGGGCCTGGGATACCTTCTGATGCTATCCCTCTCTTTCTAACCACATTGTTTATCAGCAGGCCCGTGCCCATGCTCGGCAGGTTCGACGTCAGTGCCAAAAGGAATCTTGGATTAAATGCACTACCAGCATCTCTTCTACCACCAGTTCCAAAACCGTATGGGACAAGATTCGGAGAGTCACTGGGAGGTATGCTTCCCATCCACTTTCCATCTTGCTC